GTGTGTGTGTGTGTGTGTGTGTGTGTGTGTGTGTGTGTTAATGTAGTTTAAAACATTTTTAAGTCTATAATAGCAGTAATTATCAACTGAACATTGAAACTATTTAACTGAAACTACATTTCAAAACTGGTATATTTGTCACTGACAGTTCATAAATCACCAATCAAACTGGCCACATGCTGCATAGATGTGAGCATCACAGAACCAAAACATGCATGGAGTGATAACTGTTGATAGGAGGCACTACACTTTAAAAACTAACAGAATAATAAATGTGCTGTACACAGATAAAACCTTTGTTTTATGTTTGAAAAAAGTCTAATTTTGCACATGATCTGTGTAGTGTAGTTGCACAGCACTTTTTTAAAGTAAAAGCACTTCACCTTCACTTCACAAGCAGAATTAAACAACACTGATTAGATAAAAAGGATAATATGACTGAGTCACGAGTCAGTAGGTCAAGCTGCATTGTCCATCAGGCTTCAGTGATGTAAAAATGAGAAGGCTGTGAAAAGGTTGCCATTTTTTTCTTTCCTAACTCTGGTCTTGAGTAAGAACTTCTCTCCCACTGGGGGAGTTGCCACAGAGGAGCACAGCATGGTGGGTAATCGTCCAGGCACACCTGACAGCATGGATACATTTGTGCCAGAGAGCACAGGTTATTATCAGATTATCAGAACAGAATTCTATTTTTATTCTTGAGTTCACATTTGTTCTGTGATCTTATTAATACTGATTTGCATTAGCATCATTATAACATGTTTTTAGACATGACCTGAGTTTGTTGGTCAGTGTAGAGGRAATATCATTCAGACATCCATTGATTTAAAGCAATACTATTTTGAACTATGTACTCACAACTGCAATTTTATTCATAACCATTTTTAATGATAATCCTAAGAAAAATAAAAAGATTTCCCACTTATACTATTTACTCATTAATTTTTGTTTTTACATATCTGTTTTGTGCCATACACCAAAGTTATGTGGTTATGTTTGGCCTGTTAAATAATTTGATTCATTTGAGTTATATGATTATATTGGATTAGTGATAAGGTAAATGTATTTTTTTTCAATTACATTAGATTGCTGTCGAATTTACYAAGGAAGTTCCCATTTTACATTTTAGAGAACCATAGCCATTTAAATATTAATCAAAATTAAATCATCAGTTGTGTACTATTGTGTTGTTTCTCTTTAAAAAAATCTGGTAAAAGTAACAAAAAAGAGCACAAAAATAAAATCAACAAAAGCAGAACAGATGAAAGAATATGTAAGAGCATGGGATGTTAGACGGAAAAAGTGAGAAGGCTATCATAAAAATGCCCCTCTTCTCCAGTGAAAAAAGTTCAAAGGGAAGAGTTCCAGCATTAACATGCTGTTTCATATTACACACCTCGGGGATTACTGACACCACCTTGCATGCTGCTTGTGACAGGAAGGTTGTTTGAGCCTAAGAGGTTTAGATAGATTCTCCTTTTCTTTCCCTCTYGTCCCCTGTCTTTGTCAGCATTTATTCCTCTCTGATGGATTTGCCGCTGGTGATGGGGCTCTGTGGCTTCAAAGTGTTTAACCAAGGAGTAAATTGCTGGTTACTTACTGGCAACTTTCTGATCTATGTGTCAAGATGGAGTCAGTGGTGTAGAACTCAGTACAAGACCCTTTGGCAGAGTTTGTTGTAAAATAATGATTTTAAAGGTAAAGGGGTGCATATTTGTGCCGAGCCTTGTTTGTGTTTGTAGCTTTGCTGTCATTCAATGGATGTGTGTGTGTGTGTGTGTGTGTGTGTGTGTGTGTGTGTGTGTGTGTGTGTGTGTGTGTGTGTGTGTG